GCACACAGCGCACCCACACGCTCACACTGCACGACAAGATCACGCGAGACCACGCTTCGCTATTAATGATTTATTATATGCCACCTGCGAATTGATGTTGAATCAGTGAGTCGACGAGGCTGGCCTATTCCACTAAACCTGTACCTATTCCCTATTTATCGGCTATGATTCTAATTCACCTTCTTACTCACTGTTAAGTGTCCACGGCGGTCCGCTGATCCCGGTGTTAACCGCGTGCCTCGGTGCGTCGCACGGACGTCCGGGTCGCTGGCTCGAGCTGCGTCTGGTCGCCTGGCGCTGGAGTAAGAGAGCGATTTCCCCTCTGCGCTCCTCTATTTATCCTCCCTACCTCCAAAGGGGATGCTGCGCTGAACAATGGGCTCGTGCACCCCAAGCCCGCGCACGGCAGTCCCCAGGCGCTGTTGATATGCTAATCAGTGTGCTGCGTGCAAGGCGTAAATCCTAATTAATCCCTTACCCTCCCTAACAATGGGGCCTGCGCGCTCAAGCGCAATTATCCCAACCCTCCATGACTATGCGCAACAGCCCCTGTGACCCCGCTATTCATGCTGTCTCGTGCCTCCCGTGCTTGCCCCGTCGACTCGTGGGGGTGTGTGTGGGGGGAAATGCGCCTCAACCGCGGTGGCCGAATGCCCCACGCCGCGACCACACCATATTAAGGCCGGCAGCAGCGCCGCGGTACCACGTAGCACGGGGGAGGTCATCCAATTCCCTGATCGCCGGAAACCGTGAGAATTAATCCCGATAAGGGTCTCTCGGATAAAAACCGGTCGATCAGGTAACCTTCCCTTCCAGCTCTATGGGGGGGGGGGGGGGGGGGATGCGTGCGGGTGTGTGCTTATGTGGGGCGGGTGATGGGGGGCAGTGCGGTGGGGGAAGCCGGGCGGCTCCCTGGCTCGGCAGAGCGGCCCCGTCGCTGTGGCACCACACGTACACGTGTTCCTTGTGTGTACACGTGCTCCTTGTGTGAGTGTACGCGTATTCCGTGTGTGTACACGTGTTCCACATAAGCGCGTGTACACATGTGTGTGTATGTACACGTGTGTGTGTGTGTGTGTACACGTGTTCCTTGTGTGTACACGTGCTCCTTGTGTGAGTGTACGCGTGTTCCTTGTGTGTACACGTGTTCCACGTAAGCGCGTGTACACGTGTGTGTGTGTGTACACGTGTTCCACGTAACGCAGACATCGCCATTTTCTCAGCGCGCGCCACGTGGGTAGTGTTTAACCAATCGGATGCGTGTAGTGTCGGACGAGTTGAGTTGTACTTGAATGTGAAGAAACGTGGCGTTGTTGGTGGGCCGAATGGAGTTTGTCAAACCCTACTTCATACGCCTTATAAATAGAGTCCATAGGTTCGTAATGAAAGCAATGTTTATTACGTGTTAAGCTGGAATATGTCACGTGAAGTGAAAACACACTTTCTCTGCAGCAATTGGTGAACCGGTCGAAATATAAACAGGGACTCTTCGACTTACGAACATTCGACCTATGACCTTTCAGAGATACGAACAAACCTGTCCGTGTGTCCAGTTGCCTGTTCGGACCGATTTGTAAGTTCAACCGCCGCGCATCTACATCTGCAGAACGTGAAGAACCAGTGGCATCTACATCTGCAGAACGTGAAGAACCAGTGGCATCTACATCTACAGAACGTGAAGAACCAGTGGCATCTACATCTACAGAACGTGAAGAACTAGTGGCATCTACATCTGCAGAACATGAAGAACCAGTGGCATCTACATTTGCAAAACGTGAAGAACTAGTGGCATCTACAGAACGTGAAGAACCAGTGGCATCTACATCTACAGAACGTGAAGAACCAGTAGCATCTACATCTGCAGAACGTGAAGAACCAGTGGCATCTACATCTGCGGAACGTGAAGAACCAGTGGCATCTACATCTGCGGAACGTGAAGAACCAGTGGCATCTACATCTGCGGAACGTGAAGAACCGGTAGCATCTACATCTGCGGAACGTGAAGAACCAGTAGCATCTACATCTGCAGAACGTGAAGAACCAGTGGCATCTACATCTACAGAACGTGAAGAACTAGTGGCATCTACATCTACAGAACGTGAAGAACCAGTGGCATCTACATCTGCAGAACGTGAAGAACCAGTGGCATCTACATCTGCGGAACGTGAAGAACCAGTGGCATCTACAGAACATGAAGAACCAGTGGCATCTACATCTGCAGAACGTGAAGAACCAGTGGCATCTACAGAACGTGAAGAACCAGTGGCATCTACATCTGCAGAACGTGAAGAACCAGTGGCATCTACAGAACATGAAGAACCAGTGGCATCTACATCTGCAGAACGTGAAGAACCAGTGGCATCTACATCTGCAGAACGGGAAAAACCAGTGGCATCTACATCTGCAGAACGTGAAGAACCAGTAGCATCTACATCTGCAGAACGTGAAGAACCAGTAGCATCTACATCTGCAAAACGTGAAGAACCAGTGGCATCTACATCTGCAGAACGTGAAGAACCAGTGGCATCTACATCTGCAGAACGTGAAGAACCAGTGGCATCTACATCTGCAGAACGTGAAGAACCAGTGGCATCTACATCTGCAGAACGTGAAGAACCAGTAGCATCTACATCTGCAGAACGTGAAGAACCAGTGGCATCTACATCTGCAGAACGTGAAGAACCAGTGGCATCTACATCTGCAGAACGTGAAGAACCAGTGGCATCTACATCTGCAGAACGTGAAGAACCAGTAGCATCTACATCTGCAGAACGTGAAGAACCAGTGGCATCTACATCTGCAGAACGTGAAGAACCAGTGGCATCTACATCTGCAGAACGTGAAGAACCAGTAGCATCTACATCTGCAGAACGTGAAGAACCAGTAGCATCTACATCTGCAGAACGTGAAGAACCAGTGGCATCTACATCTGCAGAACGTGAAGAACCAGTAGCATCTACATCTGCAGAACGTGAAGAACCAGTAGCATCTACATCTGCAGCACATTATACAACGTGTATGCCATTCCCCGCGTTTAGTGTTCACGACGTACAACACGTTTGAAATCGGCAGGAGTAAAGTTGGACTTACGATCAAATCGACTTACGAACAGACCTCTGGAGAACCCAACTCGATCGTAAGTAGATGAGTCCCTGTAAATATGAAAAAAACATTTTATACACTTGTTGAGCTGGCGGTTTAATCACGTAATCAGAATTTTTATTTAAACTTCAGGAGGAATCTGATGAGCCATGATGCTCTTTCTCACAGACGTCCAGGAATCACAGGTTGCGCGGAACTACAATTCAAACTCGGGAAACGCAGTGGCATCAGCATCTCATCTCTCATTCGGTTAACATAAACCCCTCTTTCTCTCTGGCAAACGCGATTCTCATTTTGCCCATCAGTAGTCTATAGAGCAGCAGTCGCCCATACGTGGATCGCCAAATGCGTTGTGTGGATATCAGGCCTCATCAGAACACTGCAACCATTTGTTCGCTATGGCTGATAGGAAAAAAAAAACCCCACTAAGAATCCACACGAAAACTTGTACCAATGCAGCAAGTCCTTGCTTAATGCACGTTTGTTCACACTATAACGCGTTATCGCTGCGACGCGGTTCTTCCATAACGGTGAACGTACACCGTTATAATGCGGAGCGCATGCCGAAGACGAACTACTTTTTTGAGCTGCTCGGCTGACACGGCACAGGCAGTGGTACAGTACCGCGGCAGCGTATCCTCACCACGTCGTGTGCGTAGTAATAGTAGCATGTCGTGTTTCGTAAAAAATTACTTCATCGCTACTACATTCCTTATGGGGAAATTTTTTCGTTTAACGCGTATTTTCCGCTATAATGCGCCATCTTTCCGGAACGCGACAAACTCCCGCTCGCGCGTAAAAAATACTAGGGACTTGCTGTGGAAGGCACGGAGACTTTATCAGTCCAATTATGATGGGACTTTTTTTCCAGTATAAAAAATAAAAAAGGTATCCCTTAATATAGCTGCTCTCCCCGAGGTGTAAATGCTCTGATGCGTGCATTGTCCTTGCACTGCTCGCCTTTTAGCGTTCTCTGCTCTGACACTGGTGAGACTAGGCCCTAAAGAAGGCTGCTATCTCTGGTGTAGGCCAATCAGCTTCAAAGACAATGCATCAAATACTATCAGAGCCACGTGTGTTTGCATGTTCACCACAGGCACCGTGTGTGGTTAATGTCGACTTGATTCCTTGCAAAAGATTTGGTGTTTGAACATCTGAACACAACTCCTGTTGTTTTTGCCAGAAAGGGGTGAGTTAAAATCCATCCCGGTTAATCGTTGGGGGTCAACAGCTCTTACTGGGTGGATCAGTGGAGACCCGATGAGACCCAAACTCACTGGGCCCATCGACAGTGGCGCGTGGTGTCTGGCCCACGGCTGGTCTCGCCCTGTGGTTGGCTAAGACTGTAACTTGTTTCAACCGTAGTAAGGCCCCCCTTGGCCTGACCCAACATGGTTCTAAATAAATGAATGTCAATATTGTTTTTGGCAAATTGTCCACTTTGTGAGGTTAAATCCTAGCTAAGTAACTGCAGACGAATAAAATGGTTAAAATCAACGGCCGCTCTGTACGCGTTGTGTTCATTTGTTCCCGCTTGCTGGTTACTCTTGGAAAGCCACCGCCTTGCTTCAAGATCGGTTTAGAGTTGAGAAAGGTCTGTTAACTATCTTGCCTGGTAGACAGGAGGTCGTGGGTTCGATCCAAAGATGGTAACCACCTCGCCTGGTATACAGGAGGTCGTGGGTTCGATCCAGAGATGTTGACTACCTCGCCTGGTATGCAGGAGGTCGTGGGTTCGACCCTGACCCTGACGCCTGCTGCTGCTGTATATTTGGAGTTTGCGTCTCTCTCTCTCTCCGTTGTCGCGTGGATTTGTCTCCGGGTCCTCCGGATGTTCCCCTCCACATTTAGAATCAACATCGCCACGCGTCTTGAGTATTTGGCTGCGACTATACATTTCCACATTGATAAATAATAATCATTAAGCCGCCACGTCATCGAGTGGCTGTCAGTTGTGGTGGCCAGGGTCGCTTCTGAGGAAACGGCTCCATAGATGCTCAGTGGGGGCTTGGTAACATCAACAATAGTTTCAAGAAGCTCAAATTAAAGCAACTTTAAATTATGACCTGTACACGGATGTGAACTGAAGCGAGGTGCACCTTCCGTTGCTGACTTACACACACAAAGAGACACACATTTGGATGCATTCGTCACAGCACAGCTTGCAGAAGGGGTTTTCGGTGACCACGATCCGTGAATGGTTAAATAAAGGACACGGATACAAATCCTCGCCTGGCTGCAGAGACTTGTCGCAAGATTTATATTTGCCTTTAAAAAAAACAATCGGCAAAATCGTGGCATTTGCCATTTGATACCAAAAAAAATCACTCCCCCCCCCCCTATGTTTAACTATTACATATAAATAGGAATTTACAGTTAACAATAATAAAATTAATCAATTGGTTATAGGTTACAACACACACACACAAATATCGAGTGGCACAGTGTGTCTATAAAGTATGTTGTATGCCGCACTGGTTTATCATTCGAGTTTCAACTTCTGCGTGTGCTGCTGGATGTTGGCTGTAAACTTGAGAGCGCGACCCATTTACAGATACCCCATTGATGGCTGGATGGCACCCAGCTGCGCCTTTTGGCGTCATCTGGTCCAACACCATGTGAGACTAGGCTCTAAGAAAAGCTGTCTCGGGTGTGGACCAATCAATTTCAAGGACAGTGCATATCATTATCAGAGTTGTGTTTTTTGTTGCCAATGCAAACATGACTTCTTGTAAAAAAAAGGTGTCAGTTTTGTTGCCAGATAAAAGGGTAAAAAAACAATTATCATTTCAGCTCAATAGTTGATCGAATAGTGAGCGCGGTGGTTCCATATCTTACAGAGGGGAGATTATGGTTAAATATGAGGATATGTTTTACCCTTTCTGGCAATAAAACAGTTGTGTTAAAATGTTCAAACAGCAAACAGAAATCTTCTGTAAAGAATCCTGTAACTGCATTAACCACACACACGGTAGCCGTGGTGAACACACAAACAAACAACACGCTCTGGTAGGATATGATGCGACATTGTCTTTCACACCGATTGTGTCCACGCCAGAGACAGCTTTCTTCAGAGCCTGGTCTCAAAAGGCGAACAGCACAAATGCAGTGCCACAATCAGAGCATCCATAGCTCGGGGTTTGAGCAGCTACATCATGGGACCTAAACTATGTAATTAGTGGCAGACGTGTATAAGGTTTGAAATAAAATAAAATGGGTTTCTGGAATGTATCCCTATTACTTCAATGAGGTATGTACAAATGGATCGCCCTCTCATATGAATAAACATACATTTTAACTTGCCAAATATTCATTTGATTGTGGCATTTTTGCCCAACCATGTCCATCTCGTTTGTACACCATATACAAATATATGCACACGTAACTTTAGGATGTCACCTTAGATGAAAAGTAAAAATAAAAAGCCTACATTTTTGTCTGGCCTAGCGCTGATTGGTGAGCACATAGTTACCGGTTAGTGATGGGGCCAGCACCACACACACCCCGATGCGTGCGTGAGTCGGCATGGCCACTGCACGGTGTAGCAGCAGGCCTACGTATGTGAGGCAAAGTCAGCCTAGGCGAGGCCTCCGCTGGGCATTGATGAGATATCAACAACCACGACATCCTGTTCACGTATCGGACCCCGGCAAACCGGGTCCACAGTGCGGTCAGTGCGCTTGCTAAACGCTACAATCACCACTCCACACGTCTTCGGGATCTCTATAATATATATAAAGACAAAGGACCCCAGTAATAGCCTCAACAGACTGCTGGGGCAAGTGCTATTAGCGAGTAGCACATATAGTATATACACAGACGTACATATACACACGCGCACAATCTACACGACGTGTTTTTTCCCGGCCTCCTGACTCAGGATTTGGGCCCCAGTCATTTCAGACTCCGCGCATTCTGCTGCAGAAACAGCCCCACGTCAGCGCCGTCGTGCGGAGACCCCAGGCCGGGCGCCGCTGCCGCCAGCGGGAGGCCCGAGCCGAATGGCGAACCGACGAGGCCCGCCGCCCAGGGCGAAGCCTCGTGGCCAAGGCCTTGGCACTGCTCGTCATCCTGGAACATCATCGAGGCGAGGCCTTCACCCGCCGCCTGCTGCTGCTGCTGCCCGTACTGCTGCTGCCCGCCGCAGGCCGGAGCGGAGGCCCCGTTGCCCCACGCCTGGGCGAACGCCGCGGCGGCCGCGGTGGCCGCGTCCCAGCGGCGGTAGACGGAGGCCGGCACGGCTTCGACGCCGCAGCCTCGGTACGCGGGCTCGCACGGCGTTCCGGTCGCGACTGGAATCCACTCCGGGTGGTGGAGGCCACCGGAGGCGGCGGCCGACTGGGCGTTCTCCCCGCCGACTCCGCCGGGCGTCCACACCCTGCAGCCCGAGTTCATGGCATCCCCGACAACACCGCCGGTGCCGGCGGTGCCGGCGGTGGCGCCTGCCCCCCCGTAGAGCACGTACAAGCCGTCCGACGTGGGCCGGCCGTGCGAGCGGTCACCGTCGTCGCCCTCTCGGACGTAGGCCGACATCTCGGGCGGCGCGAGAGGGCCCACGGCGGGCGCGAGCTCGGCGGCGGCGGTGGTGGCGTACATGCAGGCGTGGCGGGCCCGCACCGGCTCGCAAGGGAAGCACGCCGGGTGCTGGCCGGGGAGGCCGCCGTGGCCCGGCGTCGCGGGAAGGCCCCCGTTGCCGTTACCGCCGCCTCCTCCTCCTCCGCGCTGAGGCCCCCCGCGCTTGCGGCCGCCGGCCGCCCGGTACGGGCAGTCACCTGCGGAGCGGTGGGCCGAGCGTTGCTCGTTATGTCAGCGGACGGGGCGCTCGAGGGAGGCTGGCGAGGATCTGGGTGTCGGTGACCCACGGCGATCATCGTCGTCGTCGTCGTCGTCACATTTCCGTCAACATGGCGCCGCACACGATTGTGAAATGGTGAAAAAGGCGCAGCCCTGCAACTACTCACCCACGCCACTGCTGGCGGAAGGGCGTCCGCTAACGAGAGATGGTACATCGGGGGCTACTCTTCCACGCCGGCCAGACATCTCGGACGTTGGTGGGAGTACCCACACTTTACCCCACTCCAACAAGGACAAAGATCCCCGTATAGTCTTAACAGACTGTTGGGGCAAGTGCTGTTAGCGAGTAGCAGCACCTAGAAAGGCCGGCACGGCACAAGAGGGGGTTGGGTAGCCAGCACCACGCCCGGCCGCCTTTCCCCCAGTGACGATGTTCACAGACCGCACCAGGTACTCATTCGAGGTCGAAGGCGACCTCGGGGAGGAGGCCCTGGAGCGGTTCGGATAATCGTCACCGGTGGTGTTGGTGGCCGCGGGCCGTCATTTGAAACCTCAGCTGCCACGCCGGGAGATTGAATCGCGATTCCAGCGGCAACACAAACGCTCACCTCTCGGGATCGCTTCCGTGAAGTAAATCCCACCGCCTCCTCCTCCGTCGATGGGTGGGACCAGTGTCCTCTCGTCGCCATGGAAACCCGAGTTGACGACGTGGGAGATGAGCGGGTCCCGGGGTATCCCGGGCCGTAGCACGGAGCGCGGGAGCACCGGGCACTCCTTGCTGTGGGTGGACGGACACAGACAAAGGTCCCCACACCCGTGTAGCCTTCGACAGGCTGCTGGGGCAAGTGCTGTGAGTGAGCCAGCACCTATGACACACAAGGTGGCCGACACTGCGCCTGGCCGCCTTTGTTTCCCCTGGTGCAGATGTGTAATTTGAGGCCGAGTCGACCTAGGGGAGGCCCAGAAGCGGTTCGGATAATCGTCACTGGTGTTGGTGGCCATGAGCGGGAATCGAATTCGGGACGCCGGGTTCATAATGCAGAACCCTAACCGCTGCACTATCATTCCCAGCAGTTGAATACGCACACACACACACTCACCTGAACACACACACTCACCTGAACACACATACACACTCACCTGAACACACACTTACCTGAACACACAAACTTACCTGAACACACATACACACCAACCTGAACACACACTCACCTGAACACACAAACTCACCTGAACACACAACAACCCCGTTAACCACGACGTCGTGCCAGGCCAGGTGCACTTTGAGGCCACGTTTGAAATATCGAAGGCCCGCTGGCAGGAGGTCACGGGACAGACCCAGGTGCGATGGACTGACTGAGATAACTGGCAGATGCACCACCTGTGCCCCCTTCCTGTGCCAACTTTCACCTGAACAACAACCGCCATTCGCCACCAAGTGGCGGTGACTTCACCACCGCGCCTGTGCCAGGCTAGGTGCACGTTAAGGCCACGTGAAGTGTCGAACGCCCGCTGGCAGGCAGTCCACGGGGCAGAACCAGGTGCCGTGGGTCGACTGGTTGAGATGAGTGGCCGATGCACCACCTGTTTCAGTTTCAGTTTTTCAGTTGCATGTATTAGGTATATAACCCTGTGAGCCATGCGGCTCTTGACTCGGGTGCAACCGCAACAAACAAAAACACGAACAAGAAACATCTCAAAGTGACTACACGCAACAGAAAAATCCAGGGAAAAACAGCAAAGTCTTCCAGAAAAAAACACCCCCACTCAGACGCTCCTGCTGAACAGGAAGACACACGCCCGCACACGCACACCTGCTACCTGTGTAACCGTGCCACCCTCTGCAGCTCCAGTTCATCCCCGCCACGGAAGCCCTTGGCGAATGGGTTGTTCTCAATCTTGAGCTGCGTGATCTGCAGGCAGCCAGAGGCAGAGAGAACGACAGTCGGGGGCCTGAGAGAGATGGAGTCCTCCTTCTGCTCAAGTCGGAATAAAGATTCTGATTCTGAGCTGGAGCTCAGAGCGCTGCATTTTAATTTCAAGACGTTTCCCCTCTCGGGAGATCAGTTTGGTTGAGCGGTGTTTCAAATCATCGCCCGATTTGAGTTACCGGAAGAGAGACGCAAATAAGCATGAGAAAATCATTGGCTAGATTGAAAAGTTTAAAGTAAATTGTATTGTTATTCATCTTAATAGTACTTGTGCATACTTATGTAAAATTGTTCACTGTTTGAGTGACAAGTTAAGACGGAAAAAGACCTGAGTCTGCTGCTGTTCTCCGGTTGCCTGAGTGAAACTATAAAAACTATAAACTATTTTTTTTATTTTACCAGGTAAGGTCCTACTGAGCTCTCAGAAGCTGCCTGGCTGCCGCAAATGATAACTCAAGGAAGTGGCTCATCACGTTGACATGTTCAGCAGCAGCAAAACACTCAAAACGCATGGTGGTGATGTTGATTCTAAATGTGGAGAAAAACCGGAGGACCCGGAGAAATAATCCACGCGACCACGGGAAGAGAGAAAGAGACGCAGACTCCAAATATACAACAGCAGGCGTCAGAGTCGGGATCGAACCCACGACCTCCTGCACACCTGGCGAGGTAGTCAACATCTCCTAGCCACCGTGATGATGACGATGAGAGAGAGAGACACGCAAACTCCAAATATACAGCAGCAGGCGTCAGGGTCGTGATCGAGCCCACGACCTCCTGCACACCAGGCGAGGTAGTCAACATCTCCTAGCCACCGTGCTTGCCCCTTGCGCAACGGCGCATTTGACCCAAACCTGAGCCAAGCCGGCTGAAAAAAAGAGCCCATTGAACAAATAAAAATACTGACGCCGGAGACGTGGGAGGATCGTCTCGGGGCTCTGACACTCGCCAGTCCCCGTGCCCTCATAAAGCGAAGGGGGCAACCTCCAGCCCCCTGCAGTGGCCAACGGTAGCCCGTCCACAGCAGCAGCAGGAGCAGCAGCAGCAGCAGCAGCAGGAGGAGGAGGAACCCGACCCCCAAGCCCACCTCTGCGTAAATCTCCGCAGTAAAAAGGCCGCGGCTCGCGTGCGTACACGGCGCTCGCCACAACTCGCCGCTCACGCACAGAGAGAGAGGGGGGAGCGTGGCGGGGAGAGGAGGCGTCAGGGCACCCCCCCACCCCCCCAAGCACTGGCATGGAACTTGACGATGCCATTGCTACGGCTTCACTCCTGCACGTGTCCGTGCCCTCTGTGTTGTGTGTGGGGAGGGGGGGCAGAGAGTGATGACACGGTGCAGTGGGAAGGTGCTGTGATGATGGTAACGATGGTGACGATAGTGACGATGATGATGTCAGTTTAACACGGAGGAGAGAGAGAGGACGACTCGGAGAGAGACTGGACTACGAGTGAGTGAGTGAGCGAGTGGTGGGTGAGTGAGTGAGGAGTGAGTGAGTGAGTGAGCGAGGAGCGAGCGAGTAAGTGAGGAGCGAGTGAGTGAGCGAGTGGTGGGTGAGTGAGGAGTAGTGAGTGAGTGAGCGAGTGGTGGGTGAGTGAGTGAGCGAGTGGTGAGTGAGTGTGTGAGGAGTGAGTGAGTGAGTGACGAGCGAGTGAGTGAGCGAGTGAGGAGCGAGCGAGTGAGTGAGTGAGTGAAAAGCGAGCAAGTGAGTGAGGCCGAGTGAGGAGCGAGCGAGTGAGTGAGTGGGTGAGCGAGTGAGGAGCGAGCGAGCGAGTGAGTGGGTGAGCGTGCGCGTACGCGGTGGTTCTGGTAGGAGGTGACGGCGACGAAAGCTGTCTCGGGGAAGGCGTGCGTGCTGAAGGCGGTGCGCCCCGAGCCGAAGCCGTTTGCCTCGTCGGCACGCACCACGTGCAGCCGCGGCTGGTACTTGTGCATCGAGTTGAGGATGATCTGTGACGCGCAATCAGCCAATCGGCACGCACGCCGGCTTGTCAACCAATCACAAGCAGCACGTCAACTGTCAACCAATCACAAGCAGCACGTCAACTGTCAACCAATCACAAGCAGCACGTCAACTGTCAACCGATCACAAGCAGCACGCCAACTGTCAACCAATCACAAGCAGCACGCACATCAACTGTCAACCAATCACATTCAAGCAATATATCGACGATCAACCGATCATAGGCAGCACGTCGACTGTTCATCAGTTTTAGCGTCAACCAACCAGTTACTAACTCTCAACCAATGACTTACAATCAGCCACCATGTGAACACGCAGCCACCAATCACAGAATGAGAAACTACCCATTCAAGTACTCAGTCGGCAGCTCGACCAGTCAGGTACAGAGTAAACAAGCCAATCAGATAAGGAGAGCGGAGGAGGCGGAGGGAGGAGGAGGAGGTGGGAGAGAAAGGGGGAGGAGGAGGTGGGAGAGGAGGAGGGGAGGAAAAGGAGGTGGGAGAGGAGATTGGGAGGAAGAGGTGGGAGAGGTGGAGGGGAGGTGGGGGAGGTGTGAGAAGAGGGGAGGATGCGGGAGAGGAGGAGGCGGAGTGGTGGTGGTGTGTGTGTGTGTGCTGTACGTAGTGGTGGTGTGCGTGTGTGGCGTACGTGTCCGAACGGGTCCAGGTGGTTGTTGGTGAGCTTCAGCTTCTGGAAGGAGACGAGTTGGCGCATCCAGTGGGCGCCCGGGGCGGGCGAGTCGGGGTGCACGTAGAGGCGGCCGGGCATCGCCGCCTCGGCCTTGCCGCTCACACTCCTGCCCCCCCCGCCCCACACCCGCACACCAGGTGCCACGAGTCAGCGACAGCAGCGGCAGCGGCGACGGCGTTCACGGCGCGCGGGGGCTGTCGCCACCGAATGTTACGGATCCAAAGAATTTGATTTTGCCGGTCAGATCGCGCTCGCTCGCGTGTGCGCGTGTGCCGGTAGAATTGCCGTAAAACCCCCCGCCACCCGACGCAGAGCGATGAACGGCTGTCCGACGCTCCGAGACGTCAGCAGGTCGCAGGGGGTGAGGGTCTCCCCGCTCGCCGCCGAATCTCGGGACGCGCGGGCCGCGGGTTCGGCGTTCATTTCTTTCGAGAGAGGCGTCGCAGCGGCGCCGCTGTTTCTAAAGACGTTGCGCTCACAGCAGAGAACTGTCGCGACACGACCGCCGCCACTCTGTGGTAGCCGGCGCCGACACGACGCCACGCGGAGCCACGTGGCCTCTCGCGTGGCCTGCTACCTCCGATTCCGTTGGGAATCGACTCCGTTCAAGCGACGACAACAAACGTACGGAACGGAATCGGCAGAAAAACCGACGACGTACGCTAACCCCGCCCCCCCCCCCTCATCCTAGCCCCGCCCTCGCCCACTAGCCCCACCCACCACTTGTTGTCTGCGAACTTGTATCGGTGGCCGTCGGCGGGACACACGTCCATGAGCAGGATGTACTTGGTGCGCGGGGACAGGCCCGACACACGCACCTTTAGGCCCGGGAACATGCGGCTGCGTGCGGACACGGGGACATGGGACATCGGACATGTAACATGGGACATGTAACATGGGACACGGGGACATGAGACACGGGGACATGTAACATGGGACACGGGGACACGGAGACATGTAACATGGGACATGGGGATATGGGACACGGGGGCACGGGGACATGGAATATGGGGCATGGGGACACGGGGACACGGAGATAGTGACGTTGGTCGTTACCGATGACTCGTCACGGCAGCGTGGGGTGACGACGCGAGGCGAGTGCCACGTTCAATGTTTTCTCCCCCGAGTTTGAACATTATTACACTTTAGCGTTTCTCACCACGTGGCCTCCCGTCACACACCACGTGGCCTCCCGTCATATGGTGTGTGTGTTGTGTACATTTTATAGTGTGCGTTGTGTAATGCGTCGTGTGTATATTGTGTATTATGTCGTGCATGTTATAGTGTGTGTTGTGTGTACATTGTGTACATTGTGTAGTGTGTTGTGTGTACATTGTGTAGTGTGCGTTGTGTGTACACTGTGTAGTGTGCGTTGTGTGTACACTGTGTAGTGTACGTTGTGTGTACATTGCGTTGTGCCTTGCGCGTCGCGTCGGTCTCACCGTCCCGCCTTGGTGATGATCATCTCGGTGCCTGCGTCGTGGAAGCGCCCCCACAGCTCCTTCTCGTGCAGGTGGACGCGCGCCCCCTCCAGCCCGCCCTGCACAGACAAAGACCCCCCAGGTAGCCTCAACCACACCGCCGGGGCAAGTGCCGCGAGGAGCGAGCGGCAGCAGCAGCAGCAGCAGCAGCAGGCCGGTACGGCCACGCGACGTGGTGGGGTGGCGAGCGCCACGCCCGGCCGCCCCTCAGCCTCATTTGAGGCTGAGTCGACTTAGGGGAGGCCCAGGACCGGTTCGGATGTTGGTCATGAGCGGGAATCGAACTCCGGTGGCCGGAGTCGTTAGCTTAGTGGTCAGGGCGCTGACCGCTACGCTAACCGCTCCCCACGCTATACAATAAAAAAAAACAAAGATCCCCCGTGTAGCCTGTAACAGACTGTTGGGGCAAGTGCTGTTAGCGAGCAACAGCACCTATGAAGGCCGGCACGGCACACGAGGCGGTGGTGTGGCCAGCACCACGCCCGGCCGCCTTTGTCTCCCTAGTAACGATGCTTACTACACACTGCACCAGGTACTCATTTGATGCTGAGTCGATCTAGGGGAGGCTCAGGACCGGTGAAAATGTTCGCCACTGCTATTGGTCGTGAGCGGGAATCGAACTTGGGTTCGTTAGGTTCGTAGCGGAGTGCGCTGCTAACCGCTACACCACCGCTTCCCACTGCACCTGCACGCAGCATGAGTCCTTTGGCGAGTGAGTGCCATTGTTGAGTTAGTAGATGGGTGGGTGGGTGAGTGATTGGGTGAGTGGTGATTACTTTGGGAAGTTCAGTGGGTGGGTGAATGGGTAAGTTGGTGAGGTGAGTGAAGCGAGTGAATAGGTGAGCGAGGTTTTGACAGTTCGGGGATGGGTGAGTGACTGAGCTGGTGAGACGGGAATCAGGTGAGTGAGTTGGTGAGAACGTTAGTCAGACCGTGTGTGATTTGGTGAGTCGGTGGATGCGTGGGTGATTTCGTGGATGGCTGACAATGAGAGTGTATCGGAGATTCGGTGAGCAATTCTGTGGGTTCGTGAGTGGGTGAGTGAGCATGTTGGTGAGCGAGTTGGTGAGCGAGCGGGTGAGTTGGTGAGCGAGTTGGTGAGCGAGTTGAGGAGCGAGCGGGTGAGTTGGTGAGCGAGTTGGTGAGTGAGCAGGCGAGTTGGTGAGCGAGTTGGTGAGCGAGTTGGTGAGCGAGTGGGTGAGTGAGCGAGTTGGTGAGCGAGCGGGTGAGTTGGTGAGCGAGTTGGGGAGCGAGCGGGTGAGTTGGTGAGCGAGTTGGTGAGTGAGCGGGCGAGTTGGTGAGCGAGTTGGTGAGCGAGTTGGTGAGCGAGTGGGTTAGTGAGCGAGTGAGTTGGTGAGCGAGTTGTCAGTGAGTGGGTGGTTTGGTGAGCAAGTTGGTGAGCGAGTAAGTGAGTTGGTGAGTGGGTGAGTTGGTGAGCGAGTTGATGAGTGAGCGGGCGAGTTGGTGAGTGAGTGAGTTGGTGAGTGAGTTGGGGAGCGAGCGGGTGAGTTGGTGAGTGATTGGGTGAATTGGCGAGCGAGTTGGCGAGCGAGTTGGTGAGTTGGTGAGCGAGTTGGTGAGCGAGTTGGTGAACGAGAGAGTGAGTTGGTGAGTGATTGGGTGAATTGGCGAGCGAGTTGGCGAGCGAGTTGGTGAGTTGGTGAGCGAGTTGGTGAGTGAGAGAGTGAGTTGGTGAGCGAGTTGGTGAAATGGCGAGCGAGTTGATGAGTGAGCGGGCGAGTTGGCGAGCGAGTTGGGGAGCGAGCGGGTGAGTTGGTGAGCGAGTTGGTGAGTTGGTGAGCGAGTTGGTGAGTTGGTGAGCGAGTTGGTGAGCGAGGTGGTGAGGAGTGTCACCTGCTGTGGCGTGGGGGCGGGACTGTGGGCGGGCGAGGCGGGAGGGGGGGGCTCTGGGGGAGACGCGGGGGAGCGAGGCCCTGGCCCCGACTCGCCCGACATGGCTCTGCGGAGGAAGGCGACACGGGCGTGGTGAGCCGGGGCTGGTGGATCACGCACAGAGCGCCGGGTGCTACCGTGCTCAGCGTTACTTTACGGGGCAGCTCGAAACTATTTAAATTTAACATTTTTAATGTTTTACCAGGTCAGGCCCCACTGAGCTGCTACGTGGCTCTTACTCAGAAGCGACCTCGCCACCACTGGTGACAGCTGCTTGGACCAAGTGGCGGATGATTATCATCATCATCACCACGTGGACATGTAGAGCCAGCGGCGAAATAACTCACAACGCGTGGTGGTGTTGGTTCTCAATGTGGGAGGGAGAACCCCGGAGGACCCGGAGGACAAATCCACGCGACCACGGGGAGAGAGAAAGACACGCAGACTCCAACTATACAGCAGCAGCAGCAGGCGTCAGGGTCGGGATCGAACCCACGACCTCCTGCACACCAGGCGAGGTAGTCAACATCTCCTGGCCACCGTGGCGCCTGTGAGAGCCGACACGGCGCACTAGGGAGTGGGTGGGTGGCCGCCACCACACCCAGACCGCCTTTGTCTCTCCAGCAGTGATGTGTAACATCGCATCGCACCAGCTACACGTTTGAGGCTGAGTCGACCTAGGGGGAGGCCCAGGACCGGTTCAGATAATCGTCACTGGTGTTGACGATACAACTCCCCCCCGAGTCCCAGCCTTCCTCCTCCCCCCCTTTCAACCCCCCCCCCCGTTAATCCCCTCTAAGACAATGGCGTGTAAAATAAATAAATAACAGCACGAGCTCAAAGGCACCGCGACCCTCAACCCCGACTCTAACTCTCACTTGGCAACTTGAAAGCTTCGCCTCCCTCCCTCACAGCAGCGCTGCCCCCCCCCCCCGGACCCGCGGCGTTGGATGGGACACGAAGCCTCAGCAGCCCCCCCCGGGAACCCCCGGACCCCCCCCCCTCCCTCAGGACCCCGGGACCCCCCCCCCTGGATCGTGGCGCTCACGGGTTCAGTGGTCGGTGAAAGGGGAGAGCCTCGACTCTTGAGCTCATGGCTTAGATACACACACATACCTACCACACACACACACCTACCTACACACCCACACACACTTACCTACACACCCACACACACTTACACACACCTACCTACACACACACACTTACCTACCTACACACACACACTTACCCACCCACCTACCTACACAACACACACACACTTACCCACCCACCTACCCACACACCCACCCACCTACACACCACACACACACTTACCAACCTACACACACTTACCCACCCACCTACCTACACACCTACCTACACACACACCTACCTACACACACATACTTACCCACCCACCTACCTAAACACCTACCCACCTACCTACACACACACTTACCCACCCACCTACACACCCACCCACCTACCTACACCCACCCACCCACCTACCCACCCAGCCACACACCTACATACACACCCACCCACCCACCTACCCACCCAGCCACCCACATACCTACACACCTACCCCCCACCTACCTACCCACCTACCCAGCTACCCACTCACCTACCCACCCACCCTACCCACCTACCCACCCGTTTACCCACCTACCCATCTACCTGCCTGCATATCTGTACAGCGAGGATCCAGTAAACCACGTGGCAACGTTGGGACGACGCGCT